AAGATGCTATCCTATCAATATGGGCCAACATTTCTAAAGAATGCTTTCAGCATCAATGCCACGTAGAATTAAGGCAGTTCTGAAGGCGAAAGGGGGTCAAACACCGTATTAGTATGGTGTTCCTAATAATCCTTTAGGTGAGTGTATAATGCTGCTGACCATATTACCCCAGACTGATATATATCGATTATTTTATTTACAGGTATTTGCTTCAGAAAGACCGTTGCAATGCACAACAATGATGGAATGGAGCTGAACAAGAAAAGTTATACAGTGAGATGATGCAATGAATATAATTAATTTGTACTTAAAATGAGCAAACCATATATTGTACTGCTTTTCCTGTCTAATGGCAGTCAGCATGACCCAAATCCTTTAGCTGTTACTATGCTTCTTCTTAAAAAATTGAGCGAGATTTAGCTATTTCTCAAAACTGTTCTAATTTGGGCCTATTTAATATTTAAAGCATCTTAATTATGGAACGTGGGTACAGTCAATAGTGTGCTACAGTAAATGTGACTGGTGTGAACGATTTGTGATGAAGGCTGACGTCAGGCAGACCTATGACACATTGGTTACAAGAAGGCATCCAGCTCGTAGCTTTTAATGGTTCCTTGGCTGATATTTTGTCACCAGCCTTTGGTTTGAATCATTTGTTATTCTTATTGAGATACCGTGAAGTGAGGCAGCTTACATTCTGTCCTGCACTGTTCTTCCTGGTATCGGTTCCAGGCTTACTGTGAACTTATGCTGGATAAACAGCATTCAGGCAGCTGCGTCATGTAAAATGTGTGGGTATCTACGCAAGTTATTATGCTCTCTGGCTGAGGTTCTCTTAGGTGAGAACCTCAAACTGGATTTCTTTAGCTTAGGTCCATAACAGCATAGTGGTTCAGAAGGTGACCCAAAGTGGATCCAAACTGCGTATATGTCATTTGATCAGCTGTTACTAGGGTGACCAGATAATTCATGTCAGGCAAGACACATTGAGCTACTTCAGGTTTTACAAGCTACTTTAAAGGCTCATGTGACTGGCTAAATAGGTCTGTTCTTTTTGGGCTTTCACTGGTTCGTTTCCTTGATTAACATTAGTGAAACATGCTCGATTATAGGAGACTGACCAATCAGCATGCAGAAAGAACTCAGTGCTAAAGTGAAATTCAGGTCCTTTTAATTGAAATGCTAGTTTACAAATCCAGTCCTGGCTCAAAGTGTCCCTCCTGACAAGGATTATCTGATCACTCTAACAGTCACGCACTCCTGGTCTTTCCTGATCGGAACCCAGCCAGATAACAACTGGTGAAAATGCTGACTTTGTAGATAAATGAACACTGACAATAGTTCTGTCATGTCTTCCTTTACCTACCTTGTGAGGGATTTCCATAGTTTATTTGTAGTTATTTAATTACGTTCATTTAGTTCATTCATTTATATCTTTCATATTTCTTATTTATATATTTCTTTCTCTCCTTGCTACTCGCTCATCATGTTCTTTGCCTCTCATACAACTTACTCTCCCCAAGGCCGTCTGACCCCCCCGGCTCCGGGAGTCTGTATGAAGACCATAGATAAAGGGGCTGTTTCCCTCAGGGGGGGCAGAGACAGACGCAGACAGACACTAGTCAAAGACCACATTCCACGCTGGAATCGACTCAGACCAAGGAACACATTTCACCGGAGCAGTCTGTCAAGAGATCAGCCGACTCATGGGCATTGAATGGTCATTCCACTGCCCTCATCACCCACAGTCATCGGGACAAGTGGAGAGGATGAACAGAGTCATCAAAAACTCGCTGTCCAAATATCACCAGGAAGGAGTGCCATGGCCTCAGGCACTGCTAATCGTTCTCTGCAGCATCAGAGCGACGACCAACAAACAGACTGGTTTGAGCCCATTTGAGATAATCACAGGGTGTCCGATGCATCTTCCGGACAGCATAGACCTGAAAAAAGCAGACGTTCACCTTGCTAGTGATAGCCTGGTTGATTATTGCATTAAGCTCACCAATGCCGTTCAGTCTGCCTCTCAACAGGTTTCTGACGCGTGGGAAGATCCCGTCGACGGAGATCACACTCTGGTACCTGGTGAGTCGGTACTGATCAGGAAACCCCAGAAAGACCCGCTTGGGGCTGAGTGGGAGGGCCCATATCATTCACTGTTAACAGCAAACACAGCAGTTACAGTGTGTGGTAAAAGCAGATGGATTCCTGCTAGCCACTGCAAAAGAGTAGACTGTGTTCCTGAGCTCTAACGCGCTAAGGTGATGTGCTAGTAACCTCTCCCTTAGTGGCCTTCGCTGCTGGCCGACAGTCACAGACGTTAACCAGCCAGAAGATAAACAACAACACTACTGTCAACAGACAAACACACATACATATTGTGGATTGTCAAGCTTTTCATTTTGCTTTTCTGGTAGTCTGTGCAAATCTGTTTATGGAAACACGATTGTCAAAACTGATGATGATGATGATTGATTAGTGGTGATTAAGTTGATTGAGTTTATTTTTTATTATTTTGCTACCTTTTTGCAAGGTGCCTCACTTGGTTTTTAGAACCTAGTGTAGATCCAAG